TTAAATAGAGGGTTATCTAGTATTGGGGGTATCTTATAATGAGGTCCGACAGCACAAATTTTTAACAAAGCATTTTTATTTTTAATTTATTGGTCAGTTGTATCTGCTCGTTGAAAAAGTGGCCTTTGCTGTTGTTGATAAAACTCTTGTGAAGGACTTTCACTCCCACTAGTTTCTGCCCCACCGCTATTAACATTTAATTTTTGGAGCCATTCACATATCTAATTAAAATAGAAAATTTTGAAGCTAAAATACGACAAAATATCACTTTGTCAAAATGTTCAGAATTTATTCTGATTTTTTATAATTCTGATTTTTAATGATGCTGGTTTCTAGGAAGTCTGATTTGAAAAAATTCTGATTTTTGAAAATTCTGGTATTTAATAATTCTGATTTTTAAAAATTCTGATTTATAATAATTCTGGTTTCTAGACATTCTGATTTTCAAAAATTCTGATTTTTAATAATTCTGGTTTCTAGAAATTACGATTTTAAAAATTCTGTTTTCTAGAAATTCTGATTTTTGAAAATTCTGATTTTTAATAATTCTGGTTTCCAAAAAATTCTGATATTCACAAATTCTGATTTTACATAAACAAGAATTGTAATTTCTGATTTTTAACAATTCTGATTTTTCTTCTACCTGAGAATCTCTCTGTTGTCTACTCAACATATTATAATAAGCCCCTGTCTCTGTTAATCGCCTAAAAGAGTGGATATATTGATCATTTTGATCAGCATGAATATGTTGGTGATGATAGGGCATAATAGCCGTTGCTTGAGCTGATGTAAGCGGACGCAGGTCTGAGAGAAAAAATTTTTTGAAATTTTTTTTGAAAATTTTTGAAAATTTGGGGGCTGGGAAAAATTTTTTTGAAAATTTTTTTTTGGAAAATTTTTGAAAATTTGAGGGCTGGGAAAAAATTTTTTGAAATTTTTTTGAAAATTTTTCCGGAAATTTGGGGCTGGAAAAAATTTTTTCTTCTGATTCACCTGATAAACTCTTCGCAGGGCGCAAAGATGGTTGTTGTTGTCCCCCCGTTCTGTTCTGCATTTCCATTGGAATAATAGCTCTACTAGCCAAATCTGTTTGTTCAGCATTTGTAGAAGCCTCACATCCTCCACAACCCATATTACCCGAATAACCATTTTGAAAATTACTAGAACAAGTACCTCCCCCACCAGCAACAACCATTTCAGGGAGTGATTGTTGAGAACCACAACCTTCCATCATTGGGAAATCTGAGGCGGAACCTTCGTTCTAAAGAAAATTTAATAGTCGGGATGAAATGTGGTCAAATTTAAAAATTTCTGGATATATAGAAGTGATCTTAGTGCCTAAAAAATTTCCATATTTTACTTAATATTAATAATTTCAAATATTTATTTATATGAATTTTAAAGAAATTTAACTCAAATATAGGAGAAGTTTATGAGGTAATTTTTGGATCGGGGGGTTTGCGCAGACCCCCTTAAAAATGTAGTGAATGACTAATTTCATTAAATTTTTTCCAAAATTTTTTTTCAATTTTTTTAAAAAATTCCAAAAATCTTTTTAAGCTGTACGCAAAAATTTTTTTAATTTACGGCGGCCATGAAGTCAGAATTCATTCTTCCCTCCTTCCTTCCTCCTATTTTTCTCCTTTTTTAAAATTCAAATTTTGAAAATCGAAAATTAAAAATATCGCGAAAATAACGGCAAAAATATTTATTTTAATTTTTGGACTGTAGGTTTTGTGCAGACCCCCTAAAATAATAATAGATAAGGAATGGCTTAGTGCTAACACATTAATTACTTAATATTAATAATTTCAAATATTCTTCTATTGAAGTTAAAAGAAATTTAACTTAAATATACGAGAGCGAGGCAGTATATAATTTTCTGCTTAACTTTTCTACTTAATATTAATAATTTCAAATATTGAACAATTTAAAATTTAACTTAAATATACAAGAAAGTCGAAGTCAAGTAATTTTCCGGCTTAACTTTGTTACTTCATGTTAATAATTTCAAATATTGAACTATTTAAGTTAAAAGAAATTTAACTTAAATATACGAGAAATTTAAAGTTATATAATTTTTCTGCCTAACTTTTTTTACTTAATATTAATAATTTCAAATATGAAACTATTTAAGTTAAAAGAAATTAAATTTAAATATACGAGAAAGTATCAGTAAGATAATCATTCTGCTTAACTTTTTTGCTTAATATTAATAATTTCAAATATTGAACTATTTATATTAACAGAATTCTACTTAATTTAACGTGTCTAACAGGGATCGCACCGATATAAAAACAAAATTCCCGATTTCGGGAATCGTGAATTCCCGAAAATTTCGAATTCCCGATTTTTGGGAATCGGGAATTCACGAAAATTTCGAATTCCCGATTTTCGGGAATCGGGAATTCACGAAAATTTTGAATTCACGATTTTCGTGAATCGTGAATTCACGAGCCAAAAATCGTCGGGAATTCACGATTTTCGGGAATTTTCGGGAATTCGGGAATTTTGCCTTGGGGATTAGAAGTAATTACTAGGGGTTAGATGTACTAGAGGTTCTTAATTGATTAATGGATATTTAAGCGGTATAAGTGTTCAAGAATAAATGCATTTGAGGATAAAGGCAAGAATAAAGGCATTTGGAGCTCAAGTAGCCAGATTTTTTCAATTTTCTGCACCGCAGGCAAAAATTTTGAGAATTTCGTAGTCAAAGAAGACATAAGTCTTCCTTTTTTAGCGCCGCAGGCGAAAATTTTGAGAATTTTGAAGACCAAGCCACCATATTTCTTCCTTTTTTAGCTCCAATCCTATATATAATTTTAGAATTGTTGTTTGTTTGTTTGTTTGTTTGTCCGCAGCTTTGAATTTTGCTGTGTTTGGCGTTGTGTTTATTTTTTTAATTAAAAATGACAAAATATCCAAAAAAGAAAATAGTGTGAGTTTAGAGAAGGAAAGAAAGAATGTGAATTTTTTAGAATTTGATTTGTCTTTTTTGCTGTAATTTTTTTATTTTTTTTTATTTTTTTGGCAATTTTTTGTTTTTTTGTTTGTCAATTGTATTTAAGATGTGTTTTGATTTGATTGTTTTGTTTTTTTTTATTTGTTAAAATTTGTTTTATTTAAAAATTGTTTTTAGATTCAAAATAAAAACAATCTATTATTTAAACAAATTTAGTGTCAAATTGTTGGTTTTCAGTGCTGATATTTTATTTAAGCAACGAGTGTCCAACCGGTGGTTAATTTTTGTGAGGTTTGTCTCTTAACATAATTAAAGTTAGGATTTTGTGTCAGACAATGCGATACTAAATAGTTAATGGTCCTAGATAGTTTGACACAGAGATACTAAGTAGTTGATTGTCCCTGATAGTTTGATACAGTGAGATACTAAGTAGTTGATAGTCCTGATAGTTTGATACATTGAGATACTATGTAGTTGATAGTCCTAGATTGTTTAATATTATGTGATACTGAATAGCTGAAAGTACTAGAGTTTGACATTGTGTGATACTAGATAGTTGATTGTGTGATTGATACTAGATAGTTTAGCATTGTGAGATTGATAGTACTAGCAAGGTTGACATAGCGTGTTGCTAAATAGTTGATAGTCCTAGAGTTTGACATTGAGTGACACTAAATAGTTGATAGTACTAGAGTGACTAACAGTTGTAGTATAACAGTTGTAGTATATATAGTAAAAAAGTTCTTTTACTATTAACTAACAGTTGTAGTATATATAGTAAAAAGTTCTTTTACTATTAACTATTAACTAACAGTTGTAGTATATATAGTAAAAAAGTTCTTTTACTATTAACTAACAGTTGTAGTATATATAGTAAAAAGTTCTTTTACTATTAACTATTAACTAACAGTTGTAGTATATATAGTAAAAAAGTTCTTTTACTATTAACTATTAAAGTAGAGTAGTACTAAAGTAGAGTACTGGAAATGGTTGGAATAATGGTGAGCAAAAAGGGCCCCGTAACTGGGTGAGGGTCCCGTGACTGGGTGAAAAGGGTCTGGAAATGATTGGAATAATGGTGAGCGAAAAGGGTCCCGTAAATGGGTGAAAAGGGTCTACAATAGTGGGAAGTAGAGACTTCGAGCAACAAGCAAGAGACAAGTGTCTGTCAAATAGTTTGAGAAAAGGATTCGTCAATAAACAAGATAAAAGAGCCCGTCAATAGAAAAAAGAATATAGTGTTCAATAGGCTTGAGAAAACGGTCCCACAATGAGTGGAAAAACGGTAATGATTGATATAGATGAGTGACATAGTTAATAGTTGAAAAATAGATATTAATAGGTAATAGTGAAAGTTGAAAATCTTTGTTAATAGTTGACATAGATATTAATAATTGCAAGTTCAAAATATTAGTTAATAGTTGAATCAATGTTAATAGTTGAAGATTGATAGTTAATAGTTGAATCATTATTAATAGTTAATTGAAAATTGATAGTTGAAAATTGATAGTTAATAGTAGAGAAATAGATATTAAAAGTTAATAGTAAAAGTTGAAAATCTTAATTAATAGTTGAATCATTGTTAATAGTTAATAGTTGAAGATTGATTAGTTGAAATAGATATTAATAGTTAATAGTGAAAGTTGAAAATCTTAGCTAATAGTTAATAGTTGACATAGATATTAATAGTTAATGGTTGAAAATCTTAGTTAATAGTTGATAAAGGTTTAGAATTGTAATGTTTAGAATTTTGCTAGCGGAAGGGGCTCGCCCGAAGGGCGACCCCCTTCCGCTAGTAATTAATAAAAATTCCCGATTTTTTTTTCCCGATTTTACAAAAAAATGTCGTGAATCGGGAACGTGAATTCACGAAAATTTCGAATTCCCGATTTTCGGGAATCGGGAATTCACGAAAATTTTGAATTCCCGATTTTCGTGAATCGTGAATTCACGAGCCAAAAAACGTCGGGAATTCCCGATTTTCGGGAATCGGGAATTTTTTCGGTGCGGTCCCTGGTGTCTAACATACAAATATACTCTAATTTTTGGGCTGGGGGGTTTGCGCAGACCCCCTTAAAATTATAGTAATGTGTTTATTGAAATATCCAGCTGTACAATAACCCCTCAACGACAATTTATATCCAAAAAAAGTCACCTGAACTTGAATTGACCAAAGAGAAGAAATTAAACTTGGTCTACTCATAGCGTCACTGCTAGCTGCAGTCCCAGGCTTTTCACCTACAATGAAAGGAGTACAGCCCGTTAATGATGTTCTTTGTTGTTGTTGCTGCTGCTCCTCTCCTGTATTTATTAAATCCATTTTAAGTATAAAAGTTAGTATTTTTTAAAAATTCTGGAAAATTGTTAAAATTTTTTAATCTAAGAAAAACGAGTTGATTAAATTTGTGCCGTTGACCTACTCGTATGTGTACGAGTAGGTCAACGGCACAAGCGGACTCGTACTAATACATATATGTATATGTACATATTAGTATGCTCGGGAGAAGAAACACCCCAGGAATCGGAAAACGAGAGTCAGGTTGGGAATTAACATCGGGAGTCGGGATACCCGAGCAACACTAGCATATACATACTCTCACTCAAAGGTGTAATTAATTAAATTGTCGAGTTTTGGAATTTGAACGCGTTATAGGAATTTGAAATAGGTACTAGAAGGGTAATTAAAAGTAAGGGAAATATTAAATTTTAAATTTAATTTTAAAATTTTGATGTCTCTATAGCATATATTATTTGTTTTAGAAGCATTCGAAGTAGTGTCTTAGAAATATAGAAAGTAAAGAGGTTCTCGCATGATCAAGAAATAATAATTAAAAAATTCTTTTGAAAAATAATTTACGTAACTCAAAAGTACCCTTAAAAATTTTTATTTTTAAAATTTACCCAATTAAAAATTTTCAAAAAAAGAGAAGAGAGAACATTGTCTTTTAAAAATAGCAAACTCGTTAAAAAATTTTTTTAGCCAAAACATTTTCCGTTTATGGTTGCCTAGTGCTATAGGGCATTTTTTATTTTTTTATTTACTACAATCCTTCAACGATGGATTAAAAATAAAATTTATGAGAAAAGTAAAAGAAAGCGCAAAAATAAAACAAATAAAAAATTATATATTAAGTAGACGGCGCCGACTCGGAGCCAATTTAACGAAAATAACTTTTGAAATTTTTAGCCTAATTTTAAAATTTTTATATCAATCGAAAGCTCTTGATTTGGGGAATCTTTTTTCTAAAGGGATTGATTAGATAAAAAAATTTCAAAAAAAGTTATGACTGAGTAAACCCAAAAAATCACGATCTTACCCATTTATCCGGCTCTAACTGTTTAGGAAATGTTCTAATCAACTCACTCCTTTTAGACAAAATAATCTACGAATCAAGAGCTTTCGAATGATATATAACATCATATGGGTAGGATGAAAACAAAGAAAGTTATAGGCCAATAAAGGATGGTAGTTAACATAATGTCAGCGCCGAAATGTCCCTCCCATGTTTATTAAAAAACTAGTAAATAAATTTATTTAAAGCTTGGCAAACTAGACATTAGTTAAAAGATATTTTAAGGTTAATCCGATGCTTAGAAACTAAAAATAAATGAAAATAAGCCTTAATATTTTAAGAAAATACTAAGTGAAAGTTGCTAAAAATAAAAATATTCTCTGGAAAATGCAAATTTTATTGAAGAATATTTGGAAATTTTTAAATTTTTTTGAGGTCCTATTTAGCTTATATTTTTTTTCTCCATTTATTTTTAGCTGCACACATTTTTAGCCAAAATGTCAACGCCGTCCTCTACCCGAAAAAAAAACTAATGAACACAAACACAGCTAAAATCGGTTGCCTATTTTTGTTTTATTAAATTTTTTAAAGTTCCTGTGTAGGGTTTTAAGAGAAAAATGAATTTTAAAAAATTTTAAGAAATTTTTATGACTAAAATCAATAAAATTTACAAATACAAAAAGTCGGGTAAAATGGTAAAAAATTTAATAAGAAAATAATACGCAGCTCATGAAGGGGGAAAAAATAATTAAAAAAGGATTAGAGCGAATAACAGTCTTTAAAAAATTTTAAGAGCGGCCAAAAACGCCTAGAAATTATAAGAAAAAAGTTTAAAATTAAATTGAAGGAAAATAAAAAAGATTTCCGGACAGTGGATTCTAGTGATGCTCGGGTATCCCGATCCCGACTCCCGACTCGGGAAAATTTCCCGAGTTTTTGGCCTCCCGATCCCGACTCCCGGTGTCAATTCCCGACTAAGTCGGGTAATTTTTACACCCCTAAGAATGGATTTTTCTGACAAAATTATATTTTCATTTAGAAAAAATGAAGAAATCTGAACTCTTGGCCTTCTAAAATTCCCAAAATTTTTGCCTGCGGCGCTGAAAGGGAAGTTTTTTGGCTTAAGGATCTTCTAAAATCCTCAAAATTTTCGCCTGCGGCGCTGAAAATTGAAGAATCTGTGGAGTTGTAGTATAGAAGATTTCGGTAATTTACTAGGATTATGGTAAATTTAAAGAGATAACGAGAGATTTGCAGTAATAAAGAGAGATATCAATGGATGATTAATGTTGCATAGGGGGTGTTAATACTATTGAGTAATACTATTTCCTCTATTTCACTCCAATGGAGAGATTCTAAGGACTTAAGGTCAATGACAACAAATATAAATCAAAGATGGGCTCTGGTTCAAAGAAAAAGCCCACAGCAATACCCAACACTGATTATCTCTGCGGTTACTAGGTTTTTTGGACAGGCTGTTGGCTTATCTTTCCAAATAATCGGGGAAATAAACTCTTAAGTTACCCTTAAAGATCGTTCAAGACCCCTTTCTATTTCACTCCAATGAGAGTCAAAATTTTTGGCTGCGGCGCAAAAAATGGAAGAAATCTGACTTCTTAAACTAAAAATTCCCAAAATTTTCGCCTGCGGCGCTAGTAAGGCTCTTTACTTTCAAAAATTTTCAATATTTTTGCCTATTGTAAAAAAAATCGGAATTTTTTCGCCGAAGGCGCCAAAAATTTTTGGAAAATTTTTTTATTGCTAATTCCCGACTCCCGATCCCGACTCCCGAGGTCATTTCCCGACCCGACTCCCGTTTCCCGATTCCCGGGTTTTTTCTTCTCCCGAGCATCACTAGTGGATTCGAACCTACACCCTATAGGGACTAAAAACCCAAGCGTTTCCAACTACACCAACAACACTATCAACAAACATATTAAAAAACTTTATTAAAACTTGAAATAAAATTAAATAAGCATTTTAATAGACAAATTAGGCAGCCAATTTAAAGCCTTATTTAATCTCTCAAGTTAATTAATCCAGTCATTGGAAATGATATCAATAATGAAAAATATAGAAAAATGAGAATATATTTTTAGAAGAGAAGAGTAAATGTTTGTTTGCAGAGTGGGGGAATAGAAACAAAAAATGTACACACAACAACAACAAAAATAAGGGGGGAAGGGGGGTATATGCATGTGAACACAGGCAAAACTGAGATAGCAGGGGAAGAGGAGAAGCGGTTATAATACTCCTCTACAGCCCAAAAGACCAATACCCTTCAATATTTTCTCATTTTAAACCAATTTGTCAAATTTGTGTTTGTGGCCAAGTGGGCATGTGGCCAAATGTCGTGCCCAGTGATTAAGGCTTTATCATTATTAACAGTCTCTGATATACCCCTATTGTATTTTTAAAGAAATCCAAAGCTTTTGAACTTTCGGTCTTTTGTCTTTACTCCGATTCTCTCCCTTTCTCTCCCTTACTATATGAGCAATATTTATCGACCGTCCCAGCGAAGCGTGGCCTTTTGGCAAAAAAGAGCTTTTTCTGTCTCTTCAACTCGCTTATATCTTGCTAGGTTTAAGTATAGAAGCAGCTGACAAAAGCTTATTTTAAAAGAATAGAAAATAAAATGGGCAAAAAAGAATAGAAAAGAAGAAGGGGTGGAGGAGGGGGGTCAATGTCAACTGCCTTTTGAATTAATTAGTAACTTTTGGCCGCCCTTCAAAATGCCAAAATTTGTAAAGGCTGGATTCTGTGGACTCAATAAGGCAATAGAACAAAATATTTTTAACGTAGGATCCAAAGTTCCCAGCCCGAATGGATTTTTTGACAATTTAGTTTGAGACCGAAAGGCTCAAAATGGTAAGTAAACTTATGTCCAGAGAAAACCTACCACTTACTGGAAAATAATTTACTAAAACTGTTATCGGTAAATAAAAAGTATTTTTTCGCAACACAAAAACAACCAAAAAAAAATTTTTTTCCCATATTTATTAGAAATTTTTTTTTATTTTTGCTTGAGCTAAAAATGTAGAAGGAAAATAAATAAGCCTATCTTTTTTTCCACTTTAAGAAAAGGAAAAATTGCAAGAAAAACAAAAAATGATTCAGACAATTAATTCGTTAAATAAAAATTTTTAAAAAACTTTTCCTACTATAAATTTTATTTTGAAATAAAATTTTTAAATTTCAAAAATATCCAAATCGAAAGAAAAATAACCTCAAAAAAATTTTTTTGGTTGCTAATACAAGGAAATTCTCGAATATATGGATCCGGATTTTTAAAATAAAAGCAAGGCAGGAAATTTAGTGAGAATGTAAATAGCATTTAAGGCAATCCCGGAGAATTGGGGTCCCTGCGAAAAAAAAGTTTAAAAATAAGAAAAAGGTATTTTCTAGGATAACAAAATATGCTAATTACGAATCCGAGCTCAGATTTTGAAAAAGTCGAATCCCGAACCCGAACCAAATTTCGAACCCTGAACCCGAATTTCGAATATTCAAATGATAGCTCGTTCGAAAGAGCTCGTCGAGCTGCATCGAATGACACCAAAATCAACGTGATTGGACAAGTTTAGACAAAGTTATGACATAAAGTCTATGATTCTATTGAAAGACTGGCCATTTTGTACAATGTCTGTAATGTTAGGGTTCAAAAATCCTGTTCGGGATCAAAAGTCCGAATTCGGGTTCGGGATTCGACTTTTTCAAAATCTGAGCTCGGATTCGTAATCAGCATATTTTTTTACCCTAGAAAAATCCTTTTTCTTATTTTTAAGATTTTTTTCCGCAGGGACCCCAATTCTCCGGGATTGCCGCATTTAAAATTTCAGGCTATTTTCCCAAAATTTTTTTTACATAATATATTAAAATTCAAAATGATTTTTAAAAAATAGTTTTTATCAATTTGATTTATTTAATAATTTTAAATAAAATTTTTATGTGAAAACAATTAACAATAAAAATATAATTTTTTTTGCATAATTAGAGAAAAGGAAAGAACTGAGGTTAAATGAGAGACTACTAATTACCAAATAGA